TAGCCTCTTACATTGGAGGGTTAGTTGTTAAACAAAAGCAGTTCCTGTTCATCAGTAATAAAAGATATACACCAGAATATGCTGAAGACACCAGACTATTCAACATCTATTAAAAAACATCAGTATCCTCCAACACTACAATAAAACATCAGTCTGTCTTTGTCCTACAAAGACTAACAAACTTGTACTGTACTTTCAGTATGCTGTATTTCAGATTTTCCAAATTCAACTCTCAACTTACCTGGCACCCCCATCTCGGACTGGCAGAAATTGGGAAACAATCAGACCATTTCAAATTTACATGATTACACGCAACAGGATAAATGGTCAAGAACTAATTCATCCATTGGGTGGCAGAAAAAAATAAAATAAATTGGAGCCAAAATTAATCGCTGTAACAAGGGGCTTTGTTGAGCCTAAATGAGACAGAATCCTTTGTAAAAATACCAAATCATCTGTATAACACTAAATCACTAAGTATAGGGAAATTAGATATTATAAACAGCATTTTAGAAAAAGTGTAGGTTATACTTAAGTTTTATATTAGAAATACAAGTCAGCGAAAAGGCCACTATTTTCAGAAATTGTCTTCATTTTTATTATGCATTTCTATTAGATTCATTTACTATTTTAAAACCTTAAATAATCTCTACTAAGTCCTCTTTCTCCTCATGATCAGAGATTAAACACTGCTGTCAAAGTTCAAGTCTTAAAAAATTAGCCCAAAACCAATGACAAGCAGGGTCCCTTTAAGATGAATTGTATTTAGGAAGGGAGTATGTTTAGGGCAGGAATACTTGGCTGGCAGAATCAAGCATTCCCAGGTCAGATACTTTACTATGGGATGTAATAATGGTCCTATTATTTTGCCCAATGATCTTTGTAAGATCACTCGGTCAGGTGCTTTTTTTAAAAAAAATTCATTCACGGGATGAAGGTGTCACTGGCTAGGCCAGCATTTAGTTGCCCTCTGAGGGATGGGCAATATGAGTCAACCACATTGCTGTGGGTCAGGAGTCACATGGAGGCCAGACCAAGTAAAGATGACAGCTTCCTTCCCTAAAGATCATTGGAGAACCATTCCAGCCTTCTAGCCTCCCAAAAGGCATATATTTTGATGCCAAACTTAATGCAGGATATGGAGGCTCGTGCCAAATGTAACATTTGTAGTGCAGAAAAATACTGAACTTTGTTGGATTAAAACCCAAGGCCCAGACATGAAACTATATATTTGTTACAATGACCCAACAGATGCTATTAACCATAGAACAGAATCCAAAGTGTCAATTCTAATTTGGAGAAAAAAAAACTTCAAATATTCATTGAAATTGCATATAATGGCAATTATACTCCATTTACATGAAGAAAGTTCCTGACTAAAGATCATCTTTCATCAAAGGCTGCTTATTGATGTTTGAGGCTAATTTCACAAACATTAATCCTTAAATACATAATTCAAGTTATAAGTTAAATTATTTTAAATTGTCATAAATAAACTGAGTTAGAACCCCAAAGTAGTAGAAAATTCCTACATGCCAGTTCTGTGGTGCTAAATTCAGATTAGCAATTAATTTTCTGTCCAAACTATGGCTTTTGAAATGGCAATGTAGATTCTTGAAATTCATAAAAAAGGTGCATAAGGCTCTTCATTAGTACCATTAATAACATCACAGTTACTTCCTCTTTGAAATGCTCGAGGATGATATTGTAGGCCTGCTATTCAGACTATCCTTTTAAAAAGGCTTGCTGTAGCTATTTCAATTGTCATGATAGGTGTCCCCCTCAGGGTTCTTGTAGAACAATGGTAATGTCCCTACCTCTGAGCCAAAATGGCCAGATTCAAATCCTACCTGCTCCAGAAGTGTGGCACAAGATTTGAACAGTTCAATATATTAAAAAAGTAAAAAGGCTTACTGCAAACAAATTTGATTCTGCAAAGCCTTCCAATTGCTGAACACCTATGAAAATGTAAACAATGTTGTGTTTCTTTTAGAAGTTTAGCTTAAATAACAAAAGACACCCTACATAAATCAGGTCTTGCTGTTATGTTCACAGACAACATACTTATGCAGATTTGCTCATTTACATAGTAGGTTAAAATTCCTTTGTTATTAATTATGAGATGTTTAAGCGTATCTTTTTGACTACAATTTGTTCACCCATCAAAATGGAAAACCAACGGCAGTAACTAAATAGTGCATTAAGTCATTACTTACTGTAAATTAATGTCCCATGTTTATAACAATTTCTACTGGCATACTGGGGATCATTTTTATTTTTATAAAATGAGCAGTGTGGATGAGAGGATTCTACTGGAATATTGCACAAAACTCAATACTTTCAAAAGAGTCAAATCTCTACCTGAAGGCTGAAAAGAAAATCAATCAGTCACCTTCCTCATTCCACAATAGAGGACAAGTACCATAATTGAACACAATGACAATGGTAATCATTACTGGGAGCTGATCAATGGCTGACAGACCATAGAAAAGCAAGTTGCCAACTGGGTAATTTTAAAAACATGCACTTTTGGAGCATCCCTTCTCCACAGATGTGCAATTAACAGGAACCAAGAACTTAAGACAGCAAACCCCGAGTCGAAGTACTGAACCATCAGCAGATTAACGATGTTAAAGACTAGGTGACCTAAGAAAATGCTGAAATTCAATTGCCTGTGCTGATAAGTTTTAATAAGTTGACCAGAATGCTATTATCTAAAGATCACAGAAATATTCAGGGTTCTCATCTGTTACCTCCCTTTAACTAATGTTCCTTTCCTCAATATTTCATTAATGTGAAAGGCAAGTGAAAGTCACTATAGTATCAGAGGATCACAGGCGGTTCTCAAATGATTGGTGAAGTGTTTATGGTTACCATGCCTCAAGCAAGGGGCAGGGTTGGAATGGTACTGTCTACAAGCAGAGAATAGACTTGACTGGGTAGATGCGGGGAGGTTAAGTGTCTCGTATGTTTCAATGAGGTAGCCTCTCATTCTTCTAAACTCCAGTGACTACAAGCCCAATCTCTTCAACCTTTAAGAAAACCCTTCCATACCCAGAATCAACCTAGTGAATCTTTGCTGAAGTGCCTCTAACGTCAATACCTCTTTGGATAAAGGGGGACCAAAACTGTTCAGAGTATTCCAGCTGTGGTCTGACTCGCAAGACTTTCTTATTTTTATTTCAAAATAAAAAAAAGTACAAGGCCAGTCCATCTATCTTCCCTATTACCTGCTGCTCTTAGATGCTAGATTTTTAAAGATTCATGCACATGGATGTCTAAATCCCATTCTGCTGCAGCTTTCTGCAGTTGTTCCCCATTTAAGGAATATTCAGCACTTCTGTTTTTCTCTGCCAAAATGCATAGCCTTACATTTTCCCCACATTATTTTCCATCTGTCAGCTATTGTCCATTTATAGAACCTGTCCATATCCCTCTAGTAAGGAAATCACATTTGCCTTCCAAACCACACAAGTCATCTGCAAACTTTGTAGTACGTTCACTTCCGTCATTCAAATCAATAATATAAAGCTAAATCCTGTGGCACTCCACAAGTTGCAGGATGCTATCCTGAAAATACCACCTTTACCCTAACTTTGTCTTCTATTAGTTAGCCCATCATCTATGTTAACATACTACCTGCAACACCACAGGCTTATATTAAGTAGCCTTATGTGGGCGATCTTATCGAACACCTTTTGGAAATCCAGATAAATTACTACATCCACTGGTTCCCCCTTACCTGTCCTGTTTGTTACCTCCTTGAAGAACTGTAATAAAATTTGTCTAGCATGAAGTCCCGTTCATGAAAGCATGCTGATTCTGCTTGATAATGTTATTTCTAAATGCTCTGCTACAATGTTCTTTATAACAGAATCTAACATGCTCCCAATGAAAAATGTTAAGCTGACTGACCTATAATTACTGATTTTGTATCTTCATCCTTTTTGAAGGAGGGTTTTATCAGCAGTTTTGCTATTGTCTGGGATTTATTCCACCCCCACCACCCCAGGATTCATGGAGGTGCATCCATCATCTTTGCAGCTATTTTCTTTAAAATTCTTGGTTGCAACCCATTAAGTCCAGGGGACTTGTCAACCTTTAACCCCCATTAGTTTTCCTTCTACTTTTTCCTCTAGTAATAGTTGTGTTTATTTTGTCCTTCATTCTTCTGCTTTTAGTACCTTCTTCTGTGACAACTGGTGCACAAGTATTTATTCAACTCCTCTACAATTTCCTGTTTCTCCATTATTATTTCCCCAGCCCTGCTCTCTAAAGAGTCTATGCTCACTTTGGCCAATCTCTCCCTTTAATATTTAAAGCAGCTCTTAATGTCTATTTTATATCATCTTATTTGCCTTTAGATTATTCACTCACTCACTCATTTTTTCCAGAATCTTTTGTTGGCTTCCGAAATACTTACATTCCCCCGATTTACCACTCATCTTTGCCACATTGTTTAGGACAATCGGTATCTAATTCTGAATTTGTCCAACTGTGTTCCAGATTCTCCAGACAGGAGAAACAACTGCTTATTTTCTAGCTCGACAAGCCCCTTCAGAATCTGTTAGTACATTAACAAAAATAGTAAATATGGAAGTCACTAATTTAGCTGGTTTGAAATATTTCAATACAAACAAGGCCAGTTTGGGGTGAGGTGGGTGGGGAGAAGAAAGAGGCAAACTCACATTGTATGTGCTTGCCTACCCAAAAGGGAGAATTTAAAAAAAAAAAAAAAAAAAAAAGTGACAGGAAAGTAAAAAGATGGTGCTTAAAAAGGAAAAATAACAATGAAAAGCAGGGGCTCAAGAATAGATGCAATTCACTCCACATTGAAGTAGCTGCTTGCAGTTAATTCAACACAACAGTAGTGAATCCTATTGAAGAGAGCATCACACTTTAAACCACAAAGCATCCTGTTTGATTTATGTCCAATCAGAAATTTGTGTCCCTTTTTGTCTCAGTATGAAAGTACTTCATGTCAAAAGTTTTCACACAAGTTCAAGTTCCAAGCATTATCTGGTTGCATTTTTATTAATATTTTCTTTAAAATTTTAACCCTTTCCAGTCTAGGGCCATCATGGATTAAGGCCTCAGTGGTCCATGCTGTCAGCCATGTGCAGTATCTAAAGTGGAGGTTATTGGTTAGTCAGCTGACCTTACAAGGTCTAGAGGTCCGCTGCACACCTGGCCAACTCCACAAGAATCACAGATCACCCAACAGTCCGGGGGTGGGGTGTGGGGAAAGAAAATTCACACAGCTCTGACTTTCTTTAAAAAGAACTGAAACGTGGCCTTTTATTCCCAACAAGAGCTGCTGTTTCCTGGCTTCCTGGGCAGTCGAAGGATAATTTTCCTCTTTGAAGACAGGAAAGGGTTAATTTCAGTGTGATACATTATGGGCCCATTATAAACCGATGATAGAATTTGTAAAAACTTTTTCCAGTATGGATGACAAACATCAGGCAATAGAGTTGGCTTTATGCATCAAGTGCCTGCAAGGTGAAGGAGAAAACACATTTAATTCTTGAGCAAGAACTCAGTTTTCAAAAGCTGTAAATAAAAGGGTCAGGCCTGCAGGACTTGATCCCAAAATACAGAAATTTTGTGCAAGGAAGTTCAATTACCACAAAATGTTGCTTTTGGAATATAGCAAGTAGCAGTCCTGTTGCAAAGAGACTTCCACTTTGATCTCATTCGGTTTGAATAAAACTGATGGCATAAGCTCAAGAATAATGCTTATGTGTTTTAATAACAATAGATTTAATTTAGTTATTGCAAAAAAGTGACCTATCAATATTTACATTCATATGCTGAATGCATTTCACACATGAATGACAAACTAATGTAAAGCACCACAACATTCTGTAAACATTGGTCAGGAAGTCTGCTTTTTAAAAGTATATCTAACATGAGCTTGTAGGCCATCAGAACAGGCAACAATTTAATTACTCTCTCACCAAGGGAAGGCTACATTGAAAGAACAAGTGAAAGCATATTGGAAAATAGGATTTAACATTGCTAACCAAATCTGATGAGCATAGTTAAGATTAGTAGTAATTGTGATGAGGAGAGTGCTCACGACATGGAAAGAAACAGGAAAAATTTGAAATCAACATCAATCATTCTAAACTTGAAGCTTATCCTGAATTAGCTAATCACAGCAGATTACCTTTCTGGCAAACTCTGGCAAAACAAAAGCTGCTCGATGCATATCTGCATTGTAATATTTCAGTTGCATTCTGTCCACTTCCTCTGCTGACAGTTGTCTCACAGGTTCACGAAAACTAGTGTCCTATAAAATATAATCTAATTAGTAAACTGAAAATGAACCCCTGGTAAAACATTTTACATCAGGAAGCCAGGGTTACACAATATACATGTGTATCATTTCCAGTAATTGCTACTCTTAATCCAATGGCTTCTGCATGCACTCGATGCCACTTTTCCTGCTGCTCTGTCCATGCAGTGAGCTTGTAAGTTATTTTCTAACATTTGCACTTCTCACTATTCAAAGTTAACAATCTTCACTGTGAAATAGGCAGTGGATGGTTAGTTTGATGGATCAGCAGATAATGCCCACTTTCACTTCCAAAGTTACCTTAGTGCCAAATTCATCATTTATACAGGAGAACAGTACACGTCGCTACAATAAAATCATGGTATCATTATCCTGTCTGCAGATATGTCCTAATGTTTGAAGGTTTGCAGAGGCCAACAACACCCAAAATCAGTGTAAAATGTGCTGATAAGCCACGCAAATGGAAATCTGCACCCTCAGCTGCTAGTTTCCCCTCTCCCTCCACCCCCCAAAAATACTTGAGGTAGTGATGTTGCTGAGACCAGTTAAATGCTTAATTCCCAAAAAAAAAAAAAAGGGGGAAATATGTTAGTTGCTGGTGCTGGTGTTGGAGGAGTCATACCAGATCTATCATAATCCATGAGTGAAATGATAGTGCTTGCTGTTATTAGTGCCGCTTACAATACAAATAGTAGGTAGAGACAGTTGAATATCAGCATCTGATGGTGAAACAGCCATTTTCAGCTCACATCAAATGAGCACAATTCCTGACTTTTATTAAACTTCACAAAAGCAAAATGCTAGAAATCTGAAATAAAAAGCAAAATATGGAGGCTGCATTTGTGAAGCAAGAAGCCATATTGACGTATTTTTGAAAGTCAGAACAGTCAGATAATGAGTCATGCAAATAGAGACAGTGCAGGGGAACAAACAACAAAATGAGGGATAAGGTGGAAAACAAGAGAAATTAAACTGCAGCAATCAAATGTCGTCTTTACTTGGGAGGAGGAGGATGCAAGTACAGGATTCTTGAGCAAATTGATATAAAAAGCAAGGAGGTATTGGAGGTTTGGGCAGGTTTAAAAGTGGACAAATTACCAGGTCCAGAAAACTAGTATCCCGGGCAGCTGTGGGAGATGGGGGAGGAAATAACAGATGCTCCAACCCAAATCTTTAAAATCATCTCTGGCCACAGGGAAGATCCCAAAGGACTGAAGGACGGCTAATGTGATTCCACTTTACAAGAGGGAGATAGAGGTAGACCAGGGAACTTATCGAGCCTCAGTGGTAGGGAATCTATTAGAGAAAGTAGTGAAGGAGAAAATTCATCTCTATTTACACAGGCAAGGTTTGATCATTGATATTCAGCATTGCTTTGTCTGAGAGAGGTCATACTTAAAAAGTCTGGTTGAATTTTGAAGAGGTGACCAAGTGTGTCGATGAGGGTAGGGCAGTTGTTGCAATTTATTTGGATTTCAGCAAGGCCTTTGACAAGGTCCCAGATGGGAAACTAATAAAGGTAAAATCTAATGGGATACGGGGTAACCTGACAAGTTGGATCTAAAATTGGTTTACAGGCAGGAGACAAGAAGTAGTAGTAGAAGGCTGTGTGTGCGACTAGACTAGGATCCAGTTTTCCAATTTTTGCCTAGAATTACACTATCCCTGATCAATCCTGCCTTTCTAAGTATTATTAATCTTGTCCTTCAGAAAGTTTTCCCAATAATTTCCCTACCACTGATGTCAGGCTGTCTGATCTGTAATTACCTGGCCCATCCCTGGTGCACTTCTTGAACTAAAGTATATTAGCTATTTTCCCAGTCATCTGGCAGTTTAGTTGTAGTCAGTAAAGTATTAAATACCTCCTCAAGGGACGTTGCTCAGGCCTCGCTTGACTTGAATCCCAGCCTTTCCTATCTCATCAGAACCCGAGGATTTATGCACCTTTATGCCTGCTAAAACATCTAATATCTCCTCTTTACCAATATTAACATGCTATAGAACCTCATCGTCCCAAATGAAACCCCCAGCTATAAAAAGGTCTTTCTCTTTTGTGAATAGCGATGAGAAATATTAATTTAAGACTTCACCCACATCCTCTAGCTCCATGGTTTCTAATAGGCCCCACTCTTTTCCTGGTAATCCTCTTGCTCTAAATATACCTATAAATGCTTGGAGTTTTTCTCAATTCTATCTGTCAAAGATATTTCATGGCCCCTCTTTGCCCTCCTAATTTCTTTATTTAAGCACACCTCATACTCCTGAAGGGTCTCCTGTTTTTAACGTCCTGTATCTAACATATGCTTCCTCCTTTATCAAACTCTCAAATCCTTCAACATCTAAGATTCCTTGGACTTACTACCCTTGCCCTTCTCAGATATTTAACCTTGATAAATGTGAGCTGATGCACGTAGGAAGAAGGAACAAGACCATAGGATACTCAAAGAATGCCAGGGCACAATGAGGTTGGGAGGAACAGAAGGATCTTGGTTAAGAGGGAGTTAAGTCATATTGGGACACTTTCCTCAGTTGAGGCACAGATAAGAGCAGGGAGGTTACACTGAAGCTGCAGAGAACTTTGGTTAGGCCACAGTTGGAGTATTGTGTACAGAAGATCAGCATACAATAGGAAGGCTGTGATTGCACTAGAGAGAGGACATGAAGGAGGTCATGAGGATGCTACTTGGATGGAGTAATTCAGCTATGGAGAGAGGCTGGGAAAGCTTCGATTTTTTCTTTAGAACACAGAAGGTTGAGGGGGGGGACCTGATAGTGGTGTATAAAACAAGGGGCATGGACAGAGTGATTAGAAAGCAGCTGTTCCCCTTAGTCAAAGAGTCAAGAACAAAGATGCACACTTTAAACCTACAGCATTTCACTTTAAAAGGGGATCCGAGGAAAAGCCTTTTCACCCAGAGGGTGGCAGATATCTGGAATGTACTGCCTGAGAGGATTGTTGAGGCAGGTAACCGCTCAAACTTTTAAAAAAAAAAGTACTTGGATGAAAACAAAGTGTCATGACATTCAAGGTTACGGGCATAGAGTGGGAACGTGGGACCAGTGTAAGTAGTAGTATATTTTTGAAGGTACAGACTTGGTGGGCTTCTTCTGAACTGTATTATTCTATAATGCTTGGGTCATGTTTGCAGATTAGATGCTGTTGGCTTGGTTTCCCCAAGCAAAGATGCTGGTCATTTAATTTTTCATCCCACTCCCCGTTGAACGGTCCTTAGAATTCTAAATAAAGCTAAAAAAAAATTACATCTTTCAAGCAGGACCCTTACAATCTTCCATACAAAGATATTTTTTTTTGGGAAAGGTCCTGTTGAAAACAATTCTAGCGATGCCATTTGCAGCTCCTCTAGACCCATTTCATGCCTTTTCTCTTTTCCAACTATCTTGCAGTTTGCCTTGCACCATTCTTTTTGTCATTTAATTGCTCCTGCTTCTGTAATTCAAACTTGGATTTCATTTCTAAAATGTTTCCAGTTGTGAAATAAGGTCATTGACCCGAAATGTTTTCTCAATTTCTCTTCCCGAAGGTTCCACTTGACCTGCTGAGTAATTCTAGCCCTTTATTTTCGCTATTCACTTCACACGCTACCTGACAGCGGACAGAACAATCTAGAATTGAACATTAGAAACAAATGTAACTGAAAGGCACTTGACTCACAGGATTTTTACTGCACAACATAAAACCAATCTGTCCACTGGGGTACGTAGGGATTGTGCTGTATGCATATTCAACTACAGGAAACAAAGATTTACAGAATCTCCGCATCTCCTTTATGAGTTCGAGGTGCAGCCACTGACATTCACCTGCAGAAATCACAGTTAGATCAGCGACAAATCCAGGTTTCCTTTAAAGAAAATTGTCAATTTGTAAAACATTTTTTTCTCCAATATTATCCCTTCAATTTGCACAATCTGGCATCTGATCATGCTACAAATTCACATGGAGTGCATTAAAAAGCACAAAACTAGTTTGGCTTTGATCTCTATTTCTAGGTCATCGCTAATCTCAGTAGAGGCTTCATTCTCAGATGAAACCTGAAACTTTCCCAACTTGTATGGCTCATAACTCATCTGAAAAGTAAGTTAACATAAACTGCACTTCTAAAGCGAACACTAAAAAAAAATACAAATGCCTAGTATCTTACGGGTTTAAAATTTTAATTGCCTTTTCCATTTAGGAGATCAGTTGTGCCTTTGGCCAAAAGATCAAACTGGTTCATTTCCTTAATTCAGCAGGCAGCATTGTTTCTAGATGGAAGAAATGGATTCGTTTCATGGTGAGAACTTTTACATATTAGGGAACAGACATGCGAAGCATTCATGTCTTATAGTACATTTATCACTGCAATTCACATCTCTTATTAATTGCATTATAAATGTGTATGGCACAGGTTTTGAATCTACAATATTAGTAGGATATCTTAAAAAAAGGTGAAAAGTAGAAATTTAAACTTACACTGGTGCTTTCAAAATATTGAAATTGATTAGACAGGATATTAAAACTTATGCCATGCAAGAGGGAAGGACATGTATAAATTGTTGCTGATATTAAACAAACACAGACAGACATCTTAGCCACTGACTTGGAAGTACATTGCAATCCTTGGGCTGTTGGGATGACACTGGCTCAAAGCAGCAGCCCATCACATTCAAGAAAATTACAGATGGGCCATAAACACTAGCCTAGCCAGCAGCATCCACAATACAGGAATTAATAAATAAGAAAATGCATCAAATTAAATTTAATGCAGAGAAATGTCACATTTTCATAGGAAGAAAAAGGAGAAGCAATGCAAAAGGGATACAATTCTAAAAAAGAAAGGTGGAGAAGGCTATTTGAACAAATTGTTCAACTGTTGAGATAAGGTTGCATAAGTTGTTAATAAAACATGTGAAAATCTTGTCTCCAAATACTGGGGAATCTGCTCAAATGTAGGAACATTCTTCAGGCTACCAGAGCAAAAAACACCTACCTTGGGCACCAAGGATCCCATCCTCATGCAGGGCATTTTTCATCAGCCGGTAGTAAGACTCCTGAAACAAGCTCTCAGCAGGCCCTTGTGTTAGACAGAAAGACAGGGGCAAGGATAGGAGCCATGGAGATACAAAAGGGGAGAAAAAAGTGGAAAGATTATAAGCAGGCTGGATTATACAAACGAAGAACCAATTATATAACTCATCCACTTCATTTTTATATTTTCACCTTTTGGATTTCTTCCATTTATTTATAAATCAGGTTACTAAATTGTTAGTAGCAGCTGTGACCAGCAATTTTCCACACAAAAAAACTCAAAAAAATTTACAAAGACCTCCAAGTGAAAGCCCAGTAACCACAAGCATTTCAAAAATGTCTTAAGCAGATTCCACATAACTCAATCTAGCACAGTATCACCAGTCCTTGAAAAGTGGGTTAACCAAAACAGCTGTAAAGGTTAAATGCAAAACTGGGAATCACAGGCACCAATCGGCCTGGAAGACCTGCTGAAAATAGGCTGCCAAAACTCATTTTATCACGTCTCAGGAACCGCTGGTACAGGTGCAATTGTGCCATGCAAAATAAGCTTTGTTTAGGCTAGAACACAAAGAAGACATTTGCACAATTAACAAAATAGTTAGCAATGTTAAGTGCTGTTGAGTGATCAGAACCAAGACTTTGTTTAACCCTGCCAAAGAACCAAAGGTAAAAGAGCTGTCACAGTTGGAAGACATCTCAGCTCAGTCAGGCTATTTGACCAATCTTATTTCACTCTCCAGGTCCAGTGTCTCCCCTACCCCGCACTCAAAATGTTCTCAAATAATTCCATGCTTTCAACATTATAAATATCCACAAATCTGTTCCAAATGCTGATTGCTGTCTGAACAACAGTTTCCTGGAATCAGTGCCAACTTGATTTTGTTTTACCACTTCGCATGTTCTCTCATGTTTTTGCTTGAAGTAACTGTGAATTCACTTTTCTAGTTTACAGTCCAATATTTACAAGGCAGTGTCTCCTGAAATCATTGAAAGGTTCATCATGTACGTGCAAAGTTCTGCATACACACACATTCTGAAATATTCTGCCAGTAAAAAGCATGTCAATTCCCAAATAAGCGCGATAAGTGAGCAAACAGAACAGAATGAAGTCACTGCACATGTGCACTTTGCACATATATAATCGAGTGCTTGCAGGGCGTCAGACTCATTACCTATTTACAATCATCTGCTGTATAAAATTGAAGAAGCTTTCTTTCAAACAAAAAATCAACTATGCAGAGCTTTAAAAGCCTAAGAGATTGACAGGAATATTTCATGATCAACAACAGTTGGCAATAATAAAATAATCATTTAGTCTTTGAATCAAACATCTAAAGACTACACAACATTTGTGAATATCTCCACCTGGTTATCTAGCTGAAAAACAGTCCAACAGACAGTTAACATCGCTCAATATCCACTGAGCTTATCAGAATTCGTACCTACTGGATCTGAGGAATCAGTGATAATTACATCAAATGCATCCTGGTTCTCTTTCATGAACTCAAAGCCATCACCAACATGAAGTTTCAGCTTGGGGCTCGAGAAACCCACTGCCATACCAGGAAGGTACTGTTTAGAAACCTTTATTACATCCTAAAGATTGAAAAAATGCAAATTACTCAGGTATGCATTACAGTATTAGTGTTCATTAAACGGCCCGTACAAATTTCACCATAATGTTAGAGGTAAAAATAAGAGAAAGGCAGGATGAAAACTAAATGTGTTACACCCTGTCCTGTTAGCTCTGGGATCAGGTTTGATGAAATTAACATCTTTTGATTCTTAAAGGTCCGAGTGGAACACGATTGAGATTGTGTCACTTCATCCAATCTGGGGATATGCAATTGATGTGGGAAGTGAGAACAGTTCAATTTCCCCTCACTAATTTGACAGCTTGATAAGCATAAAAATTGAAATACAGAATGTACAGCAAATGGGAATTGAATATTGAAGAACAGCTTGTGACATTAGAAAATGAATTGTCAAATTAAAACTAACAGATCCATAGCAAGGACGTCCGTTCAAATCAGCTCAAAAAAAAAAAATCACAAAAATGAATTAGAAATAAAGAGGAACCATGGAACAGTTTTTTTTTGTTACAGCAGCCTTGAAAAACTATGGTCTCTATTACATACATGTTTCATCCCTTGCTGATAAACCACCTCTGTTCATGTGACAGAACTGACCAAATTTAGAATAAGATGTTTGTGCACAGAATATATAAAACTATAAATTGTCTGTTTTACAGAAGTTAAATGATTGTAGTAATCCTTACTCAATTGTCACACAAATAAATTATACTCAAATAGCAGGAAAGAACAAAATGATCAAGTATAAATAAAGTGCCGTGCACTCTAAAGTTTAAAATACTTTTTGTTACATCAAAAATTAACTTGGATGGAACACTGATCACCACTTGTCTGCCTCAAAATGGTAAAAAGGATTTAAATCTGCAAGTGGGTGGATCATTGTCATTCATGAAACATAGGTAGTATACTTTTTTCAATCTGCCAAAAGGTGAACTATGTAGCTCGCCATAAATATTATTTTAAATACAAACTAGGTTTGCGACATCCTCCCATATGCATTATAAATCTGTTCCTCTACATAACTATGGGATAGGCTCTACTGGAACTGTTGGAATATAAAGCCACTCACACATTGTTGATATCTGTCAGTTAATAAGGGCAGAATTCACATTTAATGTCAGGTGGTTTGTTTTAGTGTAATTTCATGCCAAGTCTGACAGAGTCGAATGACCAGATTGGTACCAAATCAGCCAGGTCACCATCTCTCCAGCTGGCAGTTTGCCTATATTATTTTGCAATTTAAGAGTTCCTCTCCTATCTATTCATTTCATGGCTCCTGATTCAAGAAAGGGAAGGAATGGATGACAATTAGTACATCAGCATACTTGAAGAGTTTTCATTTAAACATAGAAATTTAGAAATGTAATGTTTTTTGTTTTTGTTCAAACAAATCTCAATAAGTATTCAGAACAAGATAGACAAACTGACGGCACAAATCAAGGTAAATGAATATTATCTCACGGGCATTTCATAAACATGGTTACTAGAAGATCTAAACTGGGAACATAACAGTCACGGATATTTGGAGAGACAGGAGGGATGGAAAAGGTAGTGAGATAGCATTGTTAATAAGAAATGAAGTGAGGATAGTTGAGAGAGATGATCTAAGCTCGGATGATGTTGAATCCATTTGAGTAGAGTTTAAATGAAAAGGGAAAGAAGAGTAGCAGGAGTAAATGCACTGACTGCCAACAGTAGCAATTCCATGGGCAAGGCTATAAAATCAATATACAGAAGCATGTAAAATTAAGGACAATAATTATAGATGACTTTAATCTACATGATGATTTGACAAATCAAATCAGAAAGCATTAGGGATAGTTTCCAAGAGCAATGTCACGGAGACAACCAAGGAACAGACCATCATGAATTTGGTAGTGGGGAAACGAGGCAGGTTTAATGAATGATCTCAGAGTATATGATCTCCTAGGAAGTGATGACTGTAACTGGAGTTTAAAAGAACGAGAGGTGATCTCATTGAAACATGATTCTTAGGAGGCTTGAAGGGTAAATGCTGAGATGTTTCGCCTCATAGGAGAGTCTAAGACCAGAGGGCATAGTCTTCAAATAAAGGGGCACCAATTTAAAATGGAGAGTAAGAGGCATTTCTACTGAGGGCTGAAAACCTTTGGAACTCCCTTCCACAGAGCTGTGGGGGTAGGGTCCTTGCGTATATTTGAGACTGAGATAGACAATTAGACAGATAAATTGATTCTTGATCAGTAAAAGGATTCAAGAGTTACTGGGAAAGCACAGAAAAGTGAAAACAAATGTTGGATCAGTCATGATCCAACTGAATTATGGAGCAGGTTTGAGGGGCCAGATGGCCTATTCCTGTTCCTATTTCTTATATTTAGGAGCAGACTTATACCACTCAGCTCCTTGAACATAAGGCCATAAGATATAGGACCAGAATAAGACCATTCAGCCTAACGAGTCTGCTCTGCCTTTTGATCATGGCCAATACGTTTCTCAATCCCATTCTCCTATAACCCTTGACCTATCGATCCATCTTAGTCTTAAATATACTCAATAACTCAGCCTCAACAGCCTTCTGTGGTTGAAGAAATTCCTGCTAATCTCTATTCCAAAGGGTTGCCCCCTCAGGTCTCACAGTCTCTGCTACTAGTCTACTCCACATCTACTGTATCCAGACCGTTCAGTATTCTGCAAGTTTCAACGAGATTCTCCCTCATCCTTCTAAACTCTATCTCATACAGAACCAGAGTCCTCAATCACTCCTCACATGACAAGCCCTTCATCCTCAGGTTCATGCTTGTGAACCTCCTCTGGATTCCATCAAATGCCAGCACATCCTTCCTTAGGTACAGGGCCCAAAACAGCTCATAATATTCCAAATGCGATTTGACCAAATGCCTTGTATTGCTGAGGCTGTACATCCCTGCTTTTGCACTCCAGCCCTCTTGAAATGAATGCTGACATTATATTTGCCTTTCTAACTGCCAAATGAACCTGCATATTAACCTTGAGAACCCTGAATTAGCACTCCCAAGTCCCTTTGTGCTTCAGATTTCCAAAGCCTTTGCTCATTTAGAAATACTTTGTCTCTCTGCTTCCTACCAAAGTGCATAATCTCTCACTTTCCCAAACTGTATTCCATCTGTTACAGAGATAGTAGGAACTGCCGATGCTGGAGAATCTGAAGAAGGGTCTAGACCAGAAACGTCAGCTTTCCTGCTCCTCTGATGGTGCTTGGCCTGCTGTGTTCATCCAGCTCTACACCTGGTTGTCTCTGTATTCCACTTGTCACTTCTTTGACCACTCTCCTAGTCTTTCCTTCTGCAGCCTCACAGCTTCCTCAACATTACTTGTTACTCCACCTATCTTTGTGTCATCAGCAAGCTTAACAATAATGCTCTCAGTTCCTTCGTCCAGGTTGTTAATGTATAACATGAATGGTTGTGGTCCCAACAACGCCCTCATGGAACTTCACCAGTTACCGGCTACAATCTTGAAAGACCCCTCTATCCCTACTCACTGCCTTCTGCCAGACAGCTATCTATGCCTGCCCCCTGCCCCTAACATCACGAGCACTTATCTTGTTTAGCAGTTTTACGTGTAGCACCTTGTCAAAGGCCTTCTCGAAATCCAAATAGATCACATCCACTGGTTCTCCTATCTAATTTGCTTGTTACTTTGTAGGCATGACCTCCCCTTGAAGAAACCAGATTGACTCAATCCTATTTTTACCACGCATTTGTAAGTTTCCACAATCTCATCCTTAATAATGACTCACACCTTTCACACTCTTGTTCAACAAGAATCTACTTATATCTGCCTTAAATATTCAAGGGCTCTGATTCCATTTCCTTATCAGGTAAAGTCCAGCAAAGACTCATGACTAAGTTTTTTTTTTGCTTCATCTCCATTTTAAAATGACAACCCCTAATTTTTAAACAGTAACCCTTATTTCTAGATTCACCTACGAGGGCAATCATCCTACAATCACATCTACCCGGTCATGACCACTCAGGGTCATATGTTTCAACTGAATCACCTCTTCCAAATTACAGTAGATACCAGCCTAGCCTGTGTCAGAGGCAGCACAGTGGCTCAGTCGTTAGTACTACTGCCTCACAGCACCAAGGAACCGGGTTCAATTCCACCTTCGGGTGACTGTGTAGAGTGTGCACATTCTCCCCGTGTCTGCATGGGTTTCCTCCCACAGTCCAAAGATGTGCAGGGTAGGTGGATTGGCCATGCTAAATTGCCCTAGTTTTCAGGGTTGTGTAGATTAGGTGGGTTATAGGGGGATGTCTCTAGGTGGGATGCTGAGGGTTGCAGTAGACTTGTTGGGCCAAAAGGGCTTGTTTCCATACTGTAGGGATCTATGATTCATAAGACAACATACCCATTGCAGGAGTGGCAAACCTTCTCTGAACAGCCTCCAACATACTTACATCCTTCAGGGAGACTAATACTACAAACTATGCTGCATCTGCAGTATCATCAGCACACTACATAACTGAAATATAACCTCCCTACTTTCATATACATTTCCCCTCAAAACGTTCTATTTGCTTTCTTAATTACTTGATGCACCTGTATACCAGCCTTGCGATTCATGCACCAGGGCACCCAGATCCCCCAGTTTCTTTTCTGATAAGTCCTATAAAATCATACCAAAGCTTTCCCATTGTTATTAATGGAAAAACCCAACTCACTTAATGCAACTTTAATTGAACCAATATTATAGTTGTATTTCAGGTAATATTAAGTGAGGACTTCTGTGCAAACTTGTACAGAATGATAAAACTTTGTAATTTCCTACCACAGGAGTAGGTGGTGGAGGGAAATTGCACAGATGCACTCAAGGGAAAAATTGGAATAATATATGAAGGAAAAAAAAAAGTAGAAAGATACACTAACAAAGTTAGAGAAGTTGAACAAGGCTTCCATGAACCATAAACACCAGCATGGATTAACTGGTCAAATAGTCTGATTTGTGCTGTAAAACATCTAATTTCTAAGTCACTGCAGAACAATCAGAAAAGAAAATAGTTTCTTGTTCAATCAACTGTTTGTTTTCATTACCTCATCAATTTCACATTGTGCTACAGACTCCACAGCTGCATGTTTGACCACTTCCCGCAGCACACCACCATCACCACCTCCAATAATAAGTACCTAAAATTAAGAAAAAGAAGTTAATCTGAGCAATTATATTTCTATTCAGCATAGATTTCTAACAAAATGTCTTCTACCATCAAGAATGCAAACTCAACTGTAATTTCAGGAAGTTACAGATTACTTAAAATCACTTGGAGCGTATGCTAACACAAGATCATGGCTTAGTGTTCACAGTATCAGCCATGATAAACTCATAGGTTCAAGCCCCTTTTCAGGATTCGTGTACATAATCCCTGTTGACATACTACAGGATGGGCAATACAGGGAAGCCCCCCTTTGGATAAAGCATTAAATGGAGACCCCACCTGAAAGATATGAACAATTGTGTCATACTTGGTCATAAATAACCCTCAACCAACGACAGCGAACAGCTTTAGGTAATTTAATACAATTGCTGTTCAGAAATAGGCGATGGTATTTTGCAACATTGAAGTGACAGAAATTACGAGGCCATTTGACTTATTGAGTCTATGCTGACATTAAGACCAACATAGCCAATGCAATTCCCAATACTTTCGTTTGTGTTCTAGAAAAAAGCCTCAAGGTGGTCAATCAATTCCCTTAAAAGTCATAGTTACCTCCACCACATTCTTGGGCAATGGGGCATACTTCATGAAGTATAGAGATGTCTTGGCACAATGGAAAGTAGCACACGAATTCAAGTCTGTTGTTTTGATATCATTGATTACCGAGAGGGTTGAAGGGGCTTCAGGGCATAAAATTCCAAAATCCCATGAATGCAAGTGCATAAGTTGACTTTCAAAGCTTCAAAAAATTCTTCCAAAAAAACTGGGATCAATCTATACACCAAGTATGAAATATAAACTAATAGTTGGTATCAATGCCTACTGTTTTGACATTAAAAAGAAACAAGAGCAGAAAATTGATGTTACAAATTTTATTGAGCTAATTAATTCTGCAGCATAGTAAATCAGATCATTTTAACCAGTTTCATAGTCTTCAGCATTCAATGCCAAGGTTGTTCATCAAATTCAGAGTTACTTTGGCCATGACACCATGAACACCACACTAGAAGTCACAATGCTTTCCTTGAGTCACGTAACTTAGTTGAATGGAGAGTTGATAATGAAGGATATTGATGGATTCTTCAAATTTTGCTTGACAGAATCCAAATACCACACGTTAACATCAACACAGAAGGTATTACCATGATGGCCTAAAGTCATCTAAACAAAATGAGTTAGTGAGAATGAAAAGGATCCCCTGAAAACCAAGAAGTAGCCTTCAAGAAAATCTCAAGAAGAACCCTCAAAAGATTTTGTTGTGCACTGCACAAGAGCACTTATTCCACACAACAATTCAGAATTTCATTCTATCCTCATCCATCCAACTGTCATGTCATGACATGCATAAAACTATTTTCTGCATAGTTTTTGTTTAATATTACAACAGACTTTAAATTTGTACCATTGACGGAGTACTGTCGTGCAAGTTGTATTCCTGTCCTGCTGTTGTCTCTACAGCTGTGTGAATCTTTCCTCTCCACAGCTCAGCTCCTGGGCATTTCATCCCCAATGAGGTGGCAAGTGCTAGTGCTTTTACTGCTGTCTGATGAATTGTTGGAAAATGGTAAATTTGGTAAAGTTTTTCCATACAAGAGTTATCAGCTATATTCTTGAAAATCACAACTTAAGTGAAGCAACATCAGAACTAGAGTTAGGCTTAAAAAATTTCTTAGCAGAAAACAAGTTGAAACATTGCTACATTCCTGGGTAAAATAACTTGCAAAGTAAGCTAAATTGCTCATTATAAGAAATACTGTATAATTCTGTACTTTAGGATCTTTTCAGCATTAATACAAATTTTCAACTTGTTTTAAGTATGTTCCTAATTGCTGACATTGACAAAATTACTTTCAAAACAAATTTTAAAATTGACAAGTTGGCCCAAATCTTCCAGCTACTGGATCGTCAGACAACTGAAGGTACATATCAGGATCCTGCTGTAGTCAAACTCAAATGCCATGGGGATTGCCCAGGAAGTCTGAACTTCTGACAGGCAATTTCACCACTTTCCAGGGCCTTCCACAAAGTCTGACTCTGCATTACAGTCAGAGACCTTTGGTGTTCATAACTGAACATGTACCTAGGAAATTTGTTTATAAAAACGAACTTGTTCTAACTTCTAGGCAATTACAAGTCGATCCCTGCCAATTACCCACGCTTAACCCCTCTTCCTCACTACCTACGCCTTCTGACTGCTCCCAAACCATTCCTGACTATCTTACCCATTCACCCATTCATGAAAATTCAAACTGGACCATTAAACTTACTATGGCACTAGCATGCAGTATAGAAAAAAGGGTGGCAGGTGGAAATCTCAAAGGCACCAAATCAAACTTGGAATCCAGCAAGGTGCATATAAGTGTGTCATTTCTGGCAAAGATAAGCATTCTGGTGATTTGAGGACTCATTCCGATCCTGTGTATGCTTCAGGGTTAGATCAGTGACTGATCCCTGTTCTCATTGCACACTTGGTCCTGGGCATTTTCTTCACAGCAGACTCCTGCTTCCATTATTGCACCATTTTTAGCTCCCATAGACTCTGACATTTACAGTTCAGAAGGTAAGCATTCAACCTATTGCGTCCACACGGGACAAAGAACTGATTATACCAATTCCACTTTCCAGCTTTTGACTCATAGCCCTGGAGGCTACAGCAATGCAAGTGAATATTTAAATACTGCTGGAATATTATGACAGTTTCTGACTCAATCACCCTTTCATGCAATGAGTTCCAGACCTTGAGTACCCTTTCGATGAAAAGTGCTCTCAATTCTCAGATTTAAGGTACGAGGTAAAAGACTATGTCCCTAGTTGTTGATCTCTCTATTAACTAGGAAAAAAAGTGCTTTCTAACTTACCCCATACCCTGCTTAATCTAATACACATCTATCATGTACCCTCTCAATCTTTGCTGTTCCAAGGAAAACATCACCAGCCTATTGCATCATAGTCAGATTCTCTTGCTCAGACAGAAAATTTTCCTCTGCACCTTGCCTTGTAAAACCACATCATTCTTCTAACATATTAATTAGAACTGTATGCAGTACTTCAGTTGTGGCCTAATCAGTGTTTTATACAGATTCAGCATAACCCCTTTGCTCTTTGACTTGATTAATAGCGCAAGTATCCCATATGCCCTCTTAACTACCTGCCTTGCTACCTTCAGTGATCTCTAGATAACCACACAAAGATCCTGCTGATCTTCATTACTTCAGTACTCCATTACCAACAAATTCCCTTGCTGCAGCAATTATTTGCTGAATGTGGTGACAAATTGTTTGAAGTGAGCTTTGTGCTTCTTTACTTTTACTGGAGGACTCATTTCTGCTCTTTGTTTACCATGCAAGATGGATTTGGGTAGATAAGATGGGCCACGAGGTGACTCGGGGTGAATAAAACAGGTACTGCTGGGGTGAAAAACCTAGGACAACTCAATGATAACATTTCTTAGCAGAAACTTGGGGTGTACAGAGGCAGTGAAATTGTATGCCAGTAGAAGCCTAAATATGATTTTAGTGCTAAAAAGACTACATGCTCAGTACCCTGTGATCTATGTTGCCTTTCTTCAATAGGACTGATTGCATAATTGAGCAGCAGAAGGGAGACATGTTTGCAGGGAGTTTGAGTGGTAGAGTCAGTACTTGCAGAAAAGACAGAACAAATGGTTGCGTATTCTCTCATCTAACGCAGTTAATAAAGGACATTTATTGGACACCTTTTAAGGGTATCACAAGATGTCAAGCATTTCACTACTCTATATAAATGCCAGCTGTTTCAGTGCATCATTCTTGCACATCTTTAGGAGCTAAAAGAATTATTGTTAAAGAACATACAATCACTTCTGTCACATAGGTAAATTGACAACTGGCAGCAAACAAGTCAAACACAGCAATTAAATAAGTCACTGGATAATTGGTTTTGGTAGCAACAGTTAAGAATTGGCTCAAACAACATTCCTTGATTCTAAATGGCATGGATTATCTGCAAAGAACTCCAACAATACATTCAATATTTCCTTTAAAAATCAAAGTGACATTTTTATTCTCAAAGATTCTTAGAAAAGTCAGATGAATTCAATCATACCTTTTTAGGATTAGGATGGCTGCACAGAGCTAGATTTGCAATCATCTCTTGGTAAGCAAATTCATCCCTTTCAGTGCACTGTATCACACCATCCAGCACTAAGACATTACCATAGGTTTTGCTGTGCCAAAAAGAAAAACAGTTTTAGTTTGCTAGGCGGTACCTCAAACTCTACATTCTGACGCAGTAATGTCACAATGCAGTTGAAAAATATCTTATAGTTAAGAAGTGTCTTGTGAAAAACTCAACCTAACCAGGGTGCCAAAAAAGAAAAGGACGGAACTCCATAAAAGCACAACGGGTAAAAGGTATCAGTTTTGTATCAAACATAAATGACAGGAGTCGAGACAGTAGTTAGAAGGCTACAGTAGTCAGTGCTCTTGGAGGAGGACAAAGGGAAAGGAGTTAGCAAGGGTTCCAAGGGGCATCAGGCAAGCTCACGATCAGTTGCAATTACTTACATTCAACATGTAGGCTTAGCCAAACACAAACGATCATTTTAGCATGCAATATCACAGATCTCAGGAACCAGACAGAGGATTAGAAAGAAGAATAAAAATACAAAGTATCTTCCCACTAGTCACATAATTTTAGCTCTGAGCACTGGCTTTTTTCCTCCTCAGTGATTGACCATAAGAACAGAGTTCAAAGAAATGTTGATCAGAAACATTAAAAAATTGTTCACTAGACTCATGTGACATTCACAGAACAAATGCACAGCAATGATCATCTCCAATAAAGAGATGATTTAACCACCACCCCTTGACATTCAATAGTGTTAAAATCACTGGATCAATCCCCCACTATCAACATTCTAGGGGTTACAACTGACCAGAAACTTAACCGGACACACCATATAAACACAGCAGCTGCAAGAGCCAGTCAGAGGCTAGGAATACTGCACTAAGTCACTACCCGATTCCCCAAAGCCTGTTCATCTACAAGGCATGACTCAGGACTGTGATGGAATACACCCCACTTGCCTGGATAAGCACAGCTTCAGTTGACACCATCCAGGACAAAGCAGCTGCTTGAATGGCACCACATCCACAAACATCCACTCCCTCCACCACTGATGCTCAGGAACAGCACTGTGTACCATCTACAAGGTTCACTGCAGAAAGTCACAAAACATCCTCAGACAGCACCTTCCAAACCCACAACCACTTCCATCTTGAAGGTGAAGGGCAGTAGATACATGGGAACACCAGCACCTGCAAGTTCCTTCCAAGCTGCTTACCATCTCGACTTAAAATATATTGCTGGTTCTTCACTGTCGCTGGATCGATATTCTGGAATGCCCTCCCCAAGGGTTTTGTGGGTCAATGTACAGCATGCGAACTGCGGCAGTTCAAGAAGGCAGCTCACCACCACCTTCTGAAGGGCAACTAGGGACAGACAATAAATGCTGGTCAGCCAGTGACACCCATGCCCCACGAATAATTAAAAACAAAAGGCCATAAGAAGTGAAGGTAAGACTGAACATAATTTTAGACTTAATTTAACAAAAGGATCCACCTCAGCATATATTGGGTTCATGAGGCCGAACAAGGTCTATGTCTCGAAGAAGTCTAAAAAGGTGATAAAAAATCAAAATAGAAAATAGTCCTCAAAGCCACTCTGCAGAATAGTCTGTTTATTCCTTGATCGAGCATTCAATTTATGTTTAACTAATGGAGAGTTTCTTTGAAACATTAGTTACTAAAATATACATTAAAGATCTAGCTAAATAACAGTCAGGCAAGATAAAAAGTTATGTAAATAGGTGCTTGCAACATCGTGCTTTGGCAGAACACGATAAAGTGCACCTCGGGGGTGGGGGTTGGGCGGGGGGCGGTGGGGAGAGGGGGTGGGAAACTGCTACTGCTCAGATCTATGCACTAAGCATGAATTAGAGATTTTCTGATAGACTGAACAAAAGGTTATGGCTCCAGTTGCTGTTTACCAACTGCTTATTTCCAACATTTCCTATTTTGTCAAAATGTTCAATTTTGTATGTTAAAGAGACTACAAAAAACATTGACAAAGTTAAATACTAGATTTTAAAAACTAAAAGTTTATATCAGGCAAGTTGGGATTAGCACTGAAATACGTCTGAAATATTTTGTTGCACCCAATATTTAAAAAAAGATCCACTTATATTAAATGTAGCAAGTGTAAAAGTGTAATATGAATTATAAAACCCCTGGTTTGGTTCAATCACTTTTTTAAAATTCATTTTTGTGGGATGTGGGCATCACTGGCTGGCCAGCATTTATTGTCCATCCCTGGCAGTCCTTGAGAAGGTAGTGGTGAGCTGTCTTTGTGAACTGTTGTAGTCCACCTGCTGTGGGTTGACCCACAATGCCATTAGGAAGGGAATTCCAGGATATTGACCCAGCACAGTGAAGGAATAATATGAAGGTGATATATTTCCAAGCCAGGATGGTGAGTGGCTTGGAGGGGAATTTGCACGTGGTTGTGTTCCCATGTATTAGCTACTCTAAGTAAAAGGATGATGGAGGGGTGGTGTTGCAACTGTGCTCAGTACTCTGGGTTAAAGGATCTCTATTGAGTGTCTTATTTTGGGGCCTGTATTATGAGAGGAAACATTCAGGAGACCAGCCAAGAGCTGTCAAACTGCACTTATTTCCATGAGATCTATGTTTACCAAACTTCATAGTTACTGAGTAAATCACTTGAATAGATAGGATACAAACAGGAAAAGCTGACAGGTTCAGTGGTTACTGCTTTGAAAAAAAAACTGCAAAGCTCATTTAAGTAAAATAGCACCAGGAACTCTGGAATAACTCCAAACCAAGAATACTGTTTGTATTAGCATGTGAGCCAAGTCATAAGTTCTGTTGATTCAGCTCCCATCTGCTAGAGTGAGCAAAATCATATGCCACGTGTAGGAAATCCAGCATTTAAAAAAAAGGATGCTGACAGATACCACAGGCGTTAAATTACATTCATTAAAGAACATACAAAAATTTATTGTATCAATTAAAAAGTTGTAGTGAAATGAGATACCTGTCAGAGAATGTCAATTATTGGAAATAAAGATATACTGCTCAGAAGAGGGTCATTGTCCGTCATGTCAAAGCTAACTAGTCTGTTATATTGAGAGATGATGGCCTCCAAACACTGTTCATTTAATCATAGTTGTTTAGCAGTCCCACAACATTCAAGCACACTATTCATGCTGTAGTCTATTTGGTTTTGAGATGAGGTGCAAGAGCACATTTAAAACCCCATATTGATTAATTATACAGACCCTCTAGTGAAAAATTCATTCATATAAGCAAAATTAAGCAGTAGCAAATCACAGAGCCATCATGTTCCCCAAGTCTGGTGAAAGACACTTTTCTATTGGTTTATCTTCACTTTGAAGTAAACTCCAGAGGCTCACTGGTTTCCCGAAAAAATTTCATCAGGGTTCTCATGGAAAGAGGGAAGCACTGATTATATAGTAGTAAGGAACCATCAAAGCCCACCTCCAGAAACCTCTAGATTTCTTAATCCAACACCACGCATCACATTCTTAAAAAGCAACAACTTTAGAATTACACGTTATTTAGCATGCTGTAGTTTCTCCAGTTTAGTTTCCTGAAATTGCCATACAAAGGCACAAGAGGAAAGCAACTGCTGAACAGGCTGAGATAACAAGGTGTAGAGCTGGATGAACACAGCAGCCCAAGCAGCATCAGAGGAGCAGGAAGGCTGAGGTTTCGGGCCTAGACCCTTCTTCAGAAAATGCTGAACAGGTTGCTTTCTTTCAATTAGGACTGCAATCAGTGCCATTCCTGACAAGCTCACTGAGTTTCTTCTACTCCCCCTCCACATATTTACAGTTTTTGTTTACGTACAGTGTTTTGATACAAAATTTATGAAATGGATTTGGGCACACAAGGGATAATTTCAAAAAGTTTGCAATCAAGAAAACTTGTACATTCAACAATGAAGAGGATAACAACAACAAACTTTAAGGCTGATGAAGGTGGGACGGGGAAGAAACCTATGAATTAAACAAAGTAAACTTTGAAAAAGGGGGTCAGGGATATAGCAACAACAGGAGGGGTGGGTTGAGATGTATCTCTGTGGTAGGATAAAGGCAAGATAGGAAAACTGATAAAAAGCACAGAAATAAAGAAGATTCAAAAATATCACTGGATATTCCCAGTTTCAGCATTGTGACCAATACTGAGCGAGAACACTCTGAGGCTTTGACATTAGTCCTAAAGTAGGTGCAATAGCAATATAATAGAGCAATAGGAAGAATAAAATATTTCAGTTAAGTGGAAGCAGCAGAGAAACTGATTTGCTGCTCTCCAAGATTTGAACAGAAACATACAGTCAGAAAGGTCAGGGATGTGAGGATACAGAAGCCTTCCTTTGTCCACATTGTTTTATTCAAGTTAACTAGAAATGTACCAAGAAGCAACAGAAAGGGAAAAGTAAATTGCTGAGGTGTTACATTCTGCAGTAGACCTCACGAAGGATCAGCACAAGTAAACACTATAAAATTCAAAAGAGAATTCAAAGATTAATCAGAGCCACAAATTAAACTCAAGGTCTTACTGACTTGATGTTAATTGCCTTGTGGCTCACATAGTAATCTAGAGATTACCAACATCACAATTCTGTGTTTTAGTTTAAGTCCCCAGCAGAAGCACCCTTAGCCCCAGCCATTACTAGCACTTATCACCTCAACCATAGGAACTAGACCCTTCCCCATGTACAAATTTCACTCAGGCCAAGACCCTACCCCCGCAACTACATGTACTGCATTCCCTATTTCCCACTCCCCAGCTTGACTCGTCCCCTGTACGGGGCTGTGGCCAGTGTGCCCACCCGAGCCGATACCCAAAGTTGGAAGTTGGATTGCCTAGTGACTTCATTTGGTGGTTGTTAAGAAAATCCACTGAATAATGAAAGAATTGGCAGACGAGTGAGAGCCAGTTGAGCAAAAATCAAGCACGTCTCCAGACTAAGCTATGAAAGGCTGATTTTTATTTGATAAAATAGAAAGTGAGCAAATTGAGAATAAAATAGATGTTACACTTTAAACAACGAGGGAAAACACTCCATCTGATCTGTCAGGACAGCACAGGCCCGGACTGTACCTGAGGGATGTACATCTGCCCACAATTATAACACCATGAGCGGGTACATTTTCATTCAAAAACTTTGTTTTTAAAAAAAAAATGTCCCAGAACATGCTATAAATTGCTGACCTTTTGAAGACAACCACATCTTGGAAAGGGGACTTCTGGTTGTAAAGGACCTTATCCACCTCCAGGGACATGGCTTGGCCCGGCCACAGGCTGGAGGTTTCGGTGAACCAGCCGTTCTTGATGGTGTCCATGGCTGGCTTACAGCCGGTCTCGGTGGATGAATGAGTCAGTGTGGTCGGTTATCGGCCCTCAGCCGGCGGGCACACAGCTGGCTGACGGACGGGGATTGCAGGCCTACCGGGC